CATCATGCTAACAGATTTTGTGGTGGCATTATTAAAATTAGATACTACTTCTGAAATCTCAGGTAATACTGGAATTATTTCCTGAGAATGTAGTTATTTTGAATATAAGGAGAGAAGTGGGATATTGTCTATGGTCTTTCAAGAAGATGAATTTATATGTTTTTGGTGGTATCTGTTCTCTAAAGACTCTGCATGTCATCGGTTTGGCTTATTTTCTGTTGTTTGTGGGGTTTTTTTAATGAACAGTGTCTTGTTTTGTTCATGTGGCATCATAGAACCATTTAGGTTGGAAAAGGCCTTGAAGATCAAGTCCAACCGTTAACCCACCACTGCCGGGCTCGCCACTAACCCATGTCCCTGAGCACCACATCTCCATGGCTCTTAAATCCCTCCAGGGATGGGGATTCCACCTGGGACTTCAGCCTGTGCCAGGGCTTGACAACCCTTTTAGTGAAGAAATTTTTCCTAATATCCAGTCTAAACCTTTCCTGATGCAACTTCAGGCTGTTTCCTCTTGACCTGACACTTGAGAAGAGACCAACACCTACTTCATTGCAAGCTCTTTTCAGATAGTTGTAGAGAGTGGTAAGGTGCTTACTGTGGAACAACAGAATGTGATTTTACTACGAAAATACATATATTATGTAGAAATACATGTCGGCAGTATAGCCAAACTGCTAACTTGTCTTATAGTACAAGCTAAAAAGAAGTGACTTCCAGTTTTTGCTCAGTGCTTTTTCCCTCAGCTTTTTCTTGTTCCAGATACAACCCTTTGACCATTGCTTTTGTACTCAGGGCTTCTGAATTTCCCCAAGTTCCGGTATTACTGGTATTCAGACTTCATGCCAGATCTCCTGTGGTTCAGAATTAGTTTTTCCCCCTTATATTAATTCTGAAAAGTAAGATCAGTTTGGTTCTAGTCCTAATACTGTTTATCTCCTTGAAAAATTTTCATCCTCGTCTTTTCTTGGCAGACTTCTTCCTGAGGGCCTGTAGGGACTATTAATGTCTCACTGAGGAGGGATTTTGAGTTCAACTTCATCTCTGCAGCTGCATGTTTTCTCTAAAAGCTTTTGTGGTGTGGTGCAGGACCTGCCTCTCAGAAGGAACCAAGGGGAAGATCTCGGTGTACCTTTAAGCAGTTTTTCAGTGTCTTTTTGAGCCACTGCTTGTACAGATGCAGTCAAGTTCTCAGAGAGCCCTGCTGAATCTGCTGGAAGGCTACAGCCATAGGAAGGAGAAGCCGCTGCAAAGTCACCACTGGATTTTCATCAAATGTGCACACTTTAGAGGGTTTGAAGAGCAGGAGAAGTACAGAAGAGGAGCAGGGGAAGGAGCAGTTTAGGAGCCTCCATCTCAAATAAAAACATGTCCCCCAGGAAAGCCTTAAGGTCATATTTAAATGCCACACTTACGGGATTCAAACCTGTTCGTTCATTTCTGTTCCTTGAACAGCTCATGAAGGAATAATATGTGAATAACAATAAAAAACAGTCCTGCTAGTCTTAGTCTCCCTCTTTACTGGCTTCAAGCACTCTGCTTGGACTGTTTCAGATATGAAGTAGGTAAAAAAAATCTGGTTTCTCTGATACCTTCTGCTCAGAGTTCTGTCAGCAGAGCTCTCACTGGTTAGTGCAATACTTTTAGACTAAGTATTTTTCACCATTAAAGGAAGCAGTTACAAGTCAGATCAAAGCTTAGCCCTGTGTTAGCTCTACTGTATTATTCCATGTCAGCTAGTAGCAATTATGCTCAAATATTCAGTCTGAATCTGAATTCAGGGAATGTATCTTCCATAAGAAACGTGTCCTCAGTAATTCCTCCTGTTTTTTTCCATACACTCAGCGTTTTGCCAGTCTCTCCTAATTTTTCCAGTCCTTTCAGTCAGGGTTTAGATGAATACTGTAAAAATTAAGTGTTGTGTACTCGATATGGCAGCATCTGATTTGATCAGCCAGTGGGCAGCTTGTTTTGCTACAAAAAAGTGTCTTGCTATGGTACTGGTTTTTTTTTCTCAATCGTGGCACTTAGGTCAGAACAACTTCTCTTAAAGCCAGGGAGTGCACAAGTATCTCTGGGACCTTTCTGCGATGCTGCAGGCAGCGTGATTTCAAATGGAAGCTGATTTCTAAATCCTCTGGGAAGACTTGTCTCAACCAGGAAATGTTTGGCTTCATTGTCAGTTTTGCTCCTTTTGAAGCAAAATTGACTCCAGTTCTGACATTTGTGTTCAGCGCGTGAAGCTGAGGCTGTGTCAGTGAAGAGGGCTGCGTGCTCCTCCACCTGTCCTCAGCCTTGTTAGATATCCCTGTGCTCTTGAGAAAGCAGAGGAGAGTCTGGCATGAGCTGTTTAGAGCTTTGAACTGAAGTTAGTTACGTGGGAAGTAATTTTCTTCGAAGCGGTGATGTCTGTTTTTAAGATGTGAAAGGAGGAGAATGGCTGCAATCTGATACAGTAATCAACTCCCCATCTTAAGGGGAGCACAGCTTCCCTTTCCTCCTCCTTACAGCTCCCTTTCTTGCCATTTCTGTGGAGCATCGCTAAGGTTCATTGTGGGGGAAGTAAAATCTCTAGTTAGCTAGCTAATGCTTTCGCTGTAGTAGCGCTCATGTAGGAGATACGTGGTGGGACCTTAACTCGCCATTTCCTGGTTTTCCATTGTTTTGTGAATTAAACTCTTATGTCCAGGAAGAACATGAAACGCGCTGACTCTTGTTGTTGAAAACCTTCAGTCTTAAGTAACTGTTTTCAAGGAGTGATTTTAGTTTCCTTGAACATTTTTGTGTTTCTTTCTTTCAGTAGGACACAATCCTGTATACGCAGCAGCTGTGCGACAGTTGCATGAAGCAGAGAGATGTTCATGTTTGAGGTGCAGAAAGCTAAATGATACTTGCAGGGCCACATAAAAGCTCGTATAATGAAACTGCACAGCTGGATTAGAAGCACAGTGTGTATTCCCTTCTCAGTGTACAACAGCTTTATTAATGTGTTTCTACACCTGTGCTTTTTGAGGGAGGGTGCCAGTGCAGAATTAAGTGCCAGAAATGTGTGTTGTTGCCTGGGAGGACGTGTCTCCCCAAGTATCTCATTGGAGCCCCCGTCACTGGCAGTGCCTCTTCACCTCTTCACTTTAATTGTTAACTCCAGTACAACCAGCACCAATTAACACCTTAATTATTCACTTCAGTACAACCAGCACCAGTGTATGCTGTCACATTTTCAGTGTGTGTCCCACTTCCCACTCCCCTGAGACATTCAGATTCCCATTGCTGGTACGTTCAGTACGTCGTTGTCCAGCTGCACTCCCCTGCCTTTGGGCGGTGTGTTGGTGAACTTCTCTATCCAAACCATCATCTCTGCTTCTCAAATGTAGAAGGCGTATAGTGGCAGCCACTTCTAGCGATCCCCACCGTGGATTTTTGCTTTTTCACCTAACCTATTGATCATCCTTGCTCTTCTCCTCTTCTGCTGTAGAGGTGTTGGGGCAAAGCATGATTCTGTTCCCTCAGTTCTCTCAGCCCATGGCACGGCAGGAGGTGGAGCGGCAGTTCCTTGCGGTGGCTCCAGCTCCCAGGCAGCTCTGCCCACCTTCCTCTGCGGCGGGCAGGGAAGGAAGCCAGCCAGACACCTTACTTCCTTGTTGGTCTTGTGTTTGCACGACTTAGAAGAGCCTGCAGGGCTGCAGATCGAGTGCCCCCAAGGTATTGCTATGAAATTAGTAGTTACTTAGTTTGAAGGGAGCCCTTGGAGCACCCCAGTGTTTCTGAACTTATACATTGTGTTTGGATGGTAGAGAATCAGAATTGACCCAAAGATGTTTCTCTGATTCTGCGATTTCTATGTTACTGTCTTCCCCTGAGATACTGCTCATCTGTTTGTCATGTGTTTGAGACCATGTACAGAATGCCAATGTAAGTACATAAGGTTACTTTTATTTGAGGTGATTAACATCTAATTTGTGTGAGGAGAGTAGGGAATTTCCCTGGATTGTATTACTTATGAATCTTTTGGCTATAGTTTCAGATCTACCTAGTGCTTTCCTGATTGAGAGGCTGCCAGGGAAAACTGAGTATATAGGCTTAACCCTTGAGTCCTTTTTTTTTTTTCTTTCCAAGGTGGGGTTGTTTTTTCATTTGGGGGAATTTTTAATGGAAAAATATCCACGTTGGACCTTTAGCTTGTGCGGGCACGTGCTGAGGGATGCCTGTTTCAGGTTGTCTGGTCTAGCTTAGCCTTGCAAACAAAAGCTGTGATTAATCTCCATGAAGCGAGATAAAAGGCATTATCCTGCCTTGTGTTAACGGGAGGTGCAAGTCTGCTCTTCTCACAGTGAGTTTCCTAGTCTTGACGCTCCTGAATTTGAACTTTGCTTCCCCTTAGGTCTCCCTTGCTGTCCTAAGCATTTCACATCTCTCCTCATACCTCAGACAGGATTTCATATGCTAGTCAGTTTTACGGTTCTGAGGCATCTCAAAGAGTTTTGTTCCTGCCCTTCTCCCATGTCAGAGCTGTGGGTTTTTATTGCCACAGGTTTTGACAGCGCATTAATTCAGTTCCCTGCCAGACTGGTTGGTTCTCTTCCCCTGGTGTCCTTGCTTATTCTTTTCCTCTGGTGGGTCCATGCTCCTTCTCTGTTCACAGTCAGCCAGTACTCATTAGTAGGGTTAGTAACATAACTGTATGTTACTCATTCTGTGGATGAATAACTGCAGAATTACCCTCAGTGATTGTATTCACTACGTCGTTGGCAGAAATCTGCCTTGGCTTGAAATTTTTCCCCCACCGTACAGGCTAAACACGCAGTTTTTAATTGACTAGGTGCCAACTTTACAGGAGCAGGAATTGCCATTTTAACTACAAAGGAAAACTTGTGGGAAATTACTGGAAGTTGCAGCGCCGCGGTACAGACGTGCTCTGCTTTCTCTATGATTTACCCTTCTGCACGGCTTTAAATGGGAAAAAAAGAAATAATCTAATTCTTCTTAATTCTTTTGGACAGGTTCAGCAACAGGTTCACCCAAACCTTTCGGCAAAAGAAGATTCCCTCTATTACATTGAAGAGTTGATACTTCAGCTGCTAAACAAACTATGCATTGCTCAGCCACGGACTGTCCAAGATGTAGAGGTAAAACTAGATCCTGGAACACTAAATGCTCACTTGCAGAATCGCTAAGCTGAACTAAGCTATTTTGAGCAGTGCAGACTGAAGTTAAAAGCAAGGTGAATCTGAGGAGCAGGGCCTGTCAATGCTAAAAGATGATATTGTATTCAGATTTCACAAAACAAGCTTACTTGGAAACTCCTTTTCCTTTACAGGGCTTTAGAATAGAAATTGTGGTAACTTTTTCTTTCAGCATTGGTTTTCTAAACGCAGAATAATTTGAAGGATTTTCTACTGCTCAAATACACCCTGGACTTAAGAATCTAAAGACGTTGCAAGTTTTCCTACTCTTCGACATAAATGTGCAGGAAAAAGAAGTAAATGTTGGAATGAAAGGTTACTGTTGTTAGGCCTGGATCGTGCAGCTGAGGGAATAGAGTTGTATGTTCCTGGAACTTTATTGAACTCACTGAGGCTCTTGTATTATTGCAGCTGTCTGCTTTTGTGTCATCGGTTATAAAATGAGGGCTTTAATGGACTGCGCTTCAGTATACAGTCTAGAGGGAGAAAGTACTTTCATGTAGCTGTGACCCATTATAGCTTGGTAGAGTATTAATTTTAAATCAATCTATATGTCTAGGTTTTTCAGCCTAAACCAAAATGAAGCTCTCAGCTAATATTCTGTATTTGTGTCATCAAAATAAAGAAAACAAACATGTATGTACAAAATAATCGTCTGAAGGATTTTAGATTCTTGTTAAATGCAGCAGTCGCCCTTTATTCAGCATTGAGTTAATTCATTAGTTATTAATTTTGGTTTATGATTAATGCGTTTTGTAATACTGATGCATAAAGATTATACTATGACTAAATAAAAGTAAAACTTTAATAGTCACTTAATAGCTCTCAGGATTGTAACTACCTTCGGTCTGGATTTGAACTTCAGATGTAGGGCTGAGAAATTCCATATTCCAGTTCCCAGCTGATCAAACCCTTTGGCACCCAGGACAGTTTGAGGTAGCACTGATTTTTCTACACACCAGCTCCATAGTTTTCTAGTTCTGAGTCACGAGATGATAAAATTACCCTGTGCACATATGAATTATTAATTCTCGTTGGGTATGTGCGTGCTCCACAAATTGCTGCGTGCAAAGCTGCACAGAGTACAGACAGCCTTCCGAGGTAACTGGCAACTCTTGGAATTGCAGCTAAGAATGTCACAGCAGACACTAAATCCTGTGGATTGTGTTTTAAATATACCTAGTGTTTTAAAGCTGTGAATAATAAATGGTTGTTGCACATGGTGATCTAGCAGTTGTTTAATTTAAAAGCACAGAGCTAGGTCTACGTATTGGTAACGGGTTCCCCAAAACATTCTTGTCCTGTGGGTCAATAAATCCAGAGCAGGGAAAGGAGAATTCAGTTTTGTGTTACGGGTTGTTGGCGAGGTCACGCTGCCAGCAGGCATCAGAGATCCACGACTGAAGGCTTTTGGCGCTGCTCCTCGGCTGTTTTTAGCTGTTCAGAGAAAACATGAGAGCTGTGATCTCTAAAGTTTATCATGCAGATATTTACATAACAGCCTGGAGCTAAGGGCACTATTTGCGCATAGTATTGCGCTTAACTATTTGCAAGACCAGGGTCTAAAATCTCAAATTATAAAGGTGTTGTCAGTAGAAAAAGCCATTCAAATTGTTCCTGAGAAAGCACCAGGAAGCAGTAAAGCCCGAGCACAACAAGTGGGTGTTAATAGGGAAGTGCACCGGTAAGTTGAAGGGTAGCTGAATGGTACGTTAGATCCATTTTGTGGGTGATCTCCTGGTGGAATCTCAAGGAAAGTTCATTTCAGTTAATGAGCCCAGAGCTGCCGGCAGCTCTCCAAGAGGAAAGGTCACTGTGTGTTTACCTGGCACAGGCAGCTGAAGCAGAGAGTCCAGCCTCAAATGGCCACGTGCATGTATTTAAAAAATGCCTCTAAGGAAACTGTGAGCCTCCTGTTAATTGAGAATATTACCTCCCCTTATTTCAGAATATGCTCAAAAATCTTTTCGGCAAAGGGATGAGTAGGTTTCACAATTTTTTTTTCTCATCACCTTCTTCAGCTCATCCATTTCAGCCATAAACTTGATCTGATGTAGGGCAAGTTTACACTGTTCTGTGAAATGGGAACAATACTGCCTTGTTCTATTTTTCATTTAGACTGTAAACTGGTTAGTACTTCCTGATGGTGTTTATATTTTGGGCTCCTGGTCTCAGCTGAGGTGTCTTGCTGCTCTTGTGATGTTAAGATCATGGAGCAGGGTTGTTTTAGCAGATTTGAAGGCGTTCTTCGTGCTTAGGTGGGGGGGTTGCTAGGGATTATTGCAGAGAGTGAAGCTGAGTTGAGCAAGGAGGAGAGAACCGTTAGGGAACTGTATTGCAAACACTGAGGAGGAGGATAATTGTCTATACTGCAGGGGAAGTAATTTGCTGCTTTGTTTTTTTTAAACTTCTCTTTGATTACTGCGGTTAATCTAAGTGCACTCTTTGTGTTTGGACAGGAGCGCGTTCAAAAGACGTTTCCTCATCCGATAGACAAGTGGGCGATCGCCGATGCGCAGTCTGCCATAGAGAAAAGAAAAAGAAGAAACCCACTCCTGCTACCTGTGGACAAAATACACCCTTTATTAAAGGTACTCAAACCAACAACTAGGTGATTGCTGCTTCTGCCCACTACACAGCCCCCACCCTGGCTGTATTACTGCCCTCCAGCATTATCTTTAAAGTATTTCTTTTAATTTGTGTGAAATTAGGGAAGTTTCTCATATTGGCTGAAAAAGTCATTGTAGAACAGAATGAATATATTGTGGTGTGTAATAAAAGTAGATCCCTAAATTCATCCTGTTCTAGACATTAATGTGTTAATTTATTACTCTAGGTTGAAATATTGTTAGTTTTTAACATAAATAAAATTCAAACTCAAATAACCTTACCTACTTCAGTAGCACTGGTTTGACACCTTTATTTGTTTCAAAATGCTCCAGAAGCCAAAATAGAAAAAGAGAGAACAAGTAGATCCTGTTCCCTGTATACTGTCAACTAAGATGGGTATCAGTGTCCTTTCAGTTACTGTTGAACGTCACGAATGCCTTGGGTTTAAGATTGAGAGATCTGCAAAGATGTAAAAAAGAAGTCTGGACGCGGAGTTTATCGTTGGGGGGTTTTGGGGAGTGGCCGTCTCAGTTCTTAGATGTCAGGTTGCCTGTAATGGGTGTAAAGCTCCTCGCTTACTGTCAGGATTTAGCATGACGCGGTAGCGTGTACACACTCTGTGCCCCTGTAGAGTTGGATTTTTTTAATGGCAAAACTATACTCTGTTTTTTAACTCAATGTTTAATCACTTTTAGATCAGTCCTGAATCAATAGATTGGGGCTGATTCAAGCACTGCTCTTTTTTGGTATTTCTTTTTTCTATTGATTTTGCATTTTGTTTGTAGCTTAAAAAATACTTTTCTCCAGTGATGGCGTTGTTGCACCAGACTTTTCAGCTGTATTGAGAAAACATTATTCAAGCATAGGCAGAAATTAAAGCACTTTTTTTCAGATGTAGTCACTGCGTTCTTATATACAATGTCTCAGTTTGTAATGGTTAATGAGAGAGGGAGAGATGTTAGGAAAGGAGATCTTCCTAGGCAGCACTGGCTTCCTTTGATGAAGTCTAGTTTAGAACTGTGCGGACGTGGGCACAGAATCTGATTTTTAGAAGATGCATCAAAATATGGTAAGAGCTAGACCACCTTCTTCAAATGCATGAACTCACCTGTGCTTATTCCTGACGGTCCTGCCATGAGTAAGAGGCCGTGTGGTGCCTGCTCTGCAGGACATGGAGCACGTACTACAGTAAGAACGTGCAGGGTTAATCCTTGCTTTTTTCTGTTCAGACTTGAATTATTAAATGTTTAATAATTTCACATAATGCAAGGACGGAGATAGTTTAGTTGTTCATACAAACGTAAAAGACAGACTCAAATGCACATACCGGGCTAAACATACAGTCTGTAATTTCACGGAAGACAACTTTTTCCATGCAGAGCAATTTGAAACGAAGCGTGCTCTTTTCTGAAGAGTCCAGGTTGGGGCCAGAGTCCTGCAGTAAGCCTAGATGTAGACTAAAATTCAAGTACAAGAGTGATTCCAGTGAAGTCCCTTCCTTGACAGAACCCTGTCTTTAGGACTGTCAGTTTTAGAGGAAGGATTATTGAAAGCTCTGTAGTTTTTAATCTGTCAGTATATGGCAAAATAGCACAAGGAAGAATTTGCAAGGAGTTCCTTTGAGGCAGCTGATCAAACTTCTTTTTGATGTCCTGGCAGTTGCAGTACTGTGAATTATCAACACAGATAAGATCAATCTCAGTCGAAAACTCAAATGTGTTAATTATTATTCCGAATGAATTTTTGGAATAAACAGCTCTTCCTCCTCCCCCTCCCCCTCTTGTTTTCAATTTGCAGGAGGTTCTAGGTTATAAGGTAGATTACCATGTCTCTCTGTATATTGTGGCTGTCTTAGAATACATCTCAGCTGACATTTTAAAGCTGGCTGGCAACTATGTTTTCAATATACGACACTTTGAGATCTCCCAGCAGGACATTAAAGTATCCATGTGTGCTGATAAGGTAAGGAGTTGGGATTGAAACAGGAGATACTAGAGGTAATTTTTTTAGAAATTATTTCTTTTTAAAGAAGTAGGATAGGAGGGAGACACTGTTTGTTTTGGTTTTTTTAAATGCAGAAGCTTCTGTTCCTTTTTCATGCCAGACCTGCCACAGTAAAGACTTGAGTTTAAGTTAAGCCTGTCAAGCTTTGGAACAGTAATAGTACTTACAAAGCAATGTAAGGACAGAAAGCAGTGTTTTCCATTATTTCTCAGCTGTGTGACTGAGATGTTGCTTTGTCATGACAGCTCTTTCCTTCTTTGTAATACTGAGAAGACATTTAGTTTTCATCCTCATAAAAATGAGAAACATTTTTGTTTAATTTTATCTTTATCAGGAGGGTTTTGTCGAAGGCTTATGCAAGATGCCTTGTTTTCAAAGTTGGTTCTGCATGAATTGTAACTTGTTTTCTAGGTCATACTAACTTATAAAGGCGAAAATGGCTTTGGCAACTGATCCAGCCCTTTGCTGCCAAAATTTAAATATTACTCCCTTGTGAAAGTGATCACAGAAAGTATTGTATTAAAAACTCAAAGGATTTCTCTGAACACATCAAAATAACTGAGCCTGAGCCAAGCATAAAGATCAGGCTTGCATGTAATTCTTTTAATTTCTTTGCTAGGTTTTGATGGATATGTTTGATCAAGATGACATTGGTTTGGTTTCTCTCTGCGAAGACGAGCCCTCTTCTTCTGGGGAGCTCAACTACTACGACCTAGTGAGAAACGAAATTGCGGAAGAAAGGCAGTATCTGCGGGAGCTGAATCTGATAATAAAAGTATTTCGGGAAGCTTTCCTATCAAACAGAAAATTGTTCACACCTAATGTAAGTCATTTAATAGCTTATTGATGTGTAATGCTAGTCGCTCCATTAGCAGCCGTAACATATCAATATTACATTAACCGTGTTGGAGGTAAAATTAAATTTGATTTATGGTGTGTCAGTGCATAATGAGTGTTGACTGCATGTGAAATAGAACGGAGGAATTGCCTTTAATAGTATGAAGAGCTTCTCAGAGCGAAGCTTAATGAACACGATTCCCTGTCAGTTGCCAGCAATAACTGGAGCCCTTTGGTCACGTAGGTAATAGTCACGCTTTCGCTTAACGCACAAATTGCCGGTTAATCTACCTGCGTGTACGAGGAATGCAGATAAAGTCTTGAATTGTCAGAATTCTGCAGAAATTACAAATTCAACAGCCCTCGGCTCTGGTTTCTCCAGCGTGCAGCTGACTGCGAAGGGAATCGCTGATAAACGATTGAAAGATTTGATTGGAATTGTATGGGTGGCAAATTCTGTTTTCCAGATGTCAGGGTCTAAAAAGGAAGCACGGCTCTCGCAATAGAAGAAATAATAATGAGAGATTAGCGAATCCTTCCTGTGGGAGGAAGGAGAAGGGACGCAGGCCAGCAGAACCTGAACCGGGATGTTTAGGTGGTACCAGCAGGTTAAAAAGGAGGTGGCAGGAGATGATCCCATTGCTGCTGGGTATGGAGGTTCCTCAGTAGTTCGTTGCCTCTTGGAGAATTGTGCGATACGGGGAGAGAATTCAAACGAAGGGGGCAATATCTTGGAACTGAGGAATATTCTTCCATTATATGGAAACAGGTATGAGAAACTTCAAGATCGCTTGTTCCCATGAGGAGGTTGCCATGGCCTTGACAGGAGCAGGAGGTCATCAGGCAAGCTCTGCAGCGTTAGGTTGGGGCAGAGAAGGCTTCTGAGAAGTGTATGTCGGAGGGGTCAGAAGAGGAATGCAGGTCATTGGAAGGGGCTGCCTAGCTGGGTGTGTTTGCCCTGGGTGGATTTAAAAAAATTTAAAAGCAGAATTTGGAAAAGGAAGCTGCCGATTCCTCCTCTCTACCCAGGTTGTATTTTACTAAAGGAGCCAAGTAGCTGTTTTAGTTTTACCTGTGGTTTAGAGAACCTCGAAGCTGCTTTGAATTAATTCCTTTCTGTTATGTTCTGGGAGACAAGAATTGGCAGAAGGGAACATCACACCTGTGAATTGTGGCCGAAAAGGTCAGGCGCTGCTGTCCAAAGCGCTGAACAGCCTGTACCAGGGCTGCTGCTGCTGGGGCTGGGCAGGATGATGAGCTTTCCTGCGCTGGGGTGAGAATTGTGCAAGGCTGGATGTGCCCAGGCAAGCCTGCAGGGCTGGGAAGAGCATATAATTTAAATTTCTTCCTAGCTTTTTGTTGGCTCTTCTCCATTTACCTCTTGGTTCCAGGCTTTGTGAAAAATGCTCCGATATTTACATAAGCAAAATAAATCATTCTGAACACGACTAAGATACGTTTTATGTTTGCAGGATATCGATGTGATATTTAGCAACATTTCAGATATTCATGAGCTGACAGTGAAGCTTTTAGGATTGATTGAGGATACTGTTGAAATGACTGACGAAAGTAGTCCTCATCCTCTGGCTGGCAGCTGCTTTGAAGATCTTGCAGAGGTACTTTTTTTTTTTTAAATCACCGATTGTTTTCTTCATAAACTTTTGGTCATGACTGCAGTATCTCTCATAAATTTGAAGTTGTAAAATGTCCTTTTAATAAGCTCTGAACAGAGATCTTCCCTAGCCATTCTTGAGCAGGTAAGCTAAAGCGTGTTTTCTACTTGTTACAGAGATGATATCAAGCAGGTAAGCACAAAACTTAAATCTTATTTCAGGGTGGGAATTAGTTGCTACCGTCCTGTAGGGATGTGGATTTGAAGAGTAACTCCCTGGGGAGGTTCAGGTTGGATAATAGGAAGAATTTCTTTACTGAAAGGACTATCAGGCATTGGAACAGGCTGCCTGGGGAGGAGGTTGAGTCACCGTCCCTGGAGGGGTTTGAGACGGCTGGATGTTGTGCTGAGCGATGTAGTGTAGGACTGGGACAAAGGTTGGACTCGAAGAGCTTGAAGGTCTCTGTTCTATGATTCTACGACCTATAAAATAGATGTTAAAAAATAGGAATAAGGGAAGACATTGCACCCATGTTTGACGTGGCTCGGACTGGAACATGGTAACGGTTATTTTGTCAGTTGTGTTTTTGTGGTTGATTGGTTGTTGTGTTTTGTTTTTTGAATGGGCATTAACATAGTGGAAGGACTACAGAAGAGTGTCACAAAACTAGTTTTCAAGAAAGTGCTTTACAGTGAGATGGAGCTCAGTTTAGCCAGAATAGGGTAGGTATGTAGGTACCTTCACGAACTGAGAGTACAGAATGACTCTGGAATTCAGCAGGGAGGTCCACAGCAAAAAAGCCCAACAATATCTGAAAGGCAAGAGGACAGTTCAGCTTAGAAACACACCACACCTTTTAACTGTCCAGGGAGCTAATTCTTGGACTAAATTCTCAAAGGAGGTGTGGAGTTTTTGCTGTCTTTGGGCATGTTTAAATGGAGTCTGCGTTTTCTTGAGAGGTGTATTGAGCCCATTTTATTGAACCAAGATGTAAGGGTAATCCTATAAGCCACATGTACTGTGTTATAGAGGAATATTTCGGTTAAACCACACGGTGAATGTAAGTATATGGGGTTTGTCTTAAAATTATCAAGTTTATTAAGAAAATAACAACCACCAAAACTTCCATTGCACTTCTACCTATGTTCACTTTCTGAGGATGGTATGAACACACTAGTACCATTTTGAAAATTATTACAGTTTTGTGGCTGTGAGGAGTATGGGTCCTTCAGCTCATGTGCCAGTCACTTACAAATATACCATAAAGTTTTCCTGTCATTACTTCAATAAACCACTCATGGGATCTGTCAGCGGGAAAGTCCACTTCCCTAGGTCTTAGCTCTTAAGTTGTTAAAGCTTATTTGCTTGCATGATGATAAGGAGAAGCATTTAAACAATTAAATAAAGTAAGTAGCTGTTACATGAAAATTTTTTTAAAAAATAAAATTGGAAATAACACAGCACTGTCCTGGAAAACATACATATCTCAGTTTATTGCAAAAGCTACTCTTAGGTGTCCTGTACTTAAGGGGAAATGAATCCTTTTCAATGAGTAATGTCACCTGATTTTCATTAACTGAAAAACCTAAATGGGAAAAGAAGAACAGATTATTCATTGAACCATTTAATGCAGGTAGTAAGTTTGAATTTAATAGTTCAGTTGATACAGACCAAGACCTGCTTGGTAACTAGGCCGTTCATTTGCTCCTCTTGCCTGTTGAGATCATCTTTCTGTATTTGCAAAAGGGATCATTAAAGAGAGATATGAAAGTGAAGTGTTTATTTGCTCTTCCTGTCTTGCTGCCAGCTTTGTTGGCTTGCTGTTTCCATTATGAAGGCCCTTCAATTTACTTGGAAGGATAATGAAAAACAAACAACCCTTGCAAGCTGGAATCTTCCCACTTAGTGTCTTTTTCTGCATCTGTACTCTGGAAGCTTTAAATATAAATATTGTAGTGTTTTTGAGATGAGGAGGATGGGGGGGAAAATAAAACATTTTTTCCCAGTGTGGGGCAATTCAAAACTTGATGCCCGACACATACGAGCAGGAGATGGATATTTGTTAATAAGCTGGTAAAAAAAATTGTCCTTGGTACTAACTTTTCTAACCACTACGTTTTGGGGTTTTTAATGATTGCCTGAGATATATCTCTTTGGTGATGTTCAGCTGGTGGCAGGAGAGCCCCAGAACCGAGGGTAGGGGCTCTTAGTGCCTGCTTTGAAGCTGTCCTCAGAAGGCAGCTGATAAAACAAAGTTGTTATTAGTAGACTGTATATTTGTTATACTGGTAGTTGCATTTCCATAGAAGTTTTAGGTATCCACAGAGCAAAAAAGGTGGAATCCAGTGCAGTCCAGCAAAAGGGGCTGAAGCGTACAAACACCAGTCCACGTCTGTATGTGCTGCGTTAAGATAAATTGCATGGCCACAAGGTTAATGCCTTCACATTTCAGTAGCTTTTGCAACGTTGCAAGTCTAAAAACTTTTTTTTTTTATTAGTCTCTTGGGGAAAATACCCGAATATGGTTTGTTTCAATCTTGGATTCAAAAAAACAAATCCAAAAAAACCTTGAAATACTGCTTGAAGGCAGAGTGGAAGAAACTGAAAACACTTCTAAAATGCAGCAAAAGGCTGAAAAAGACAACACGGAATAAATGTGTTGTTCTGGCTCCCCCAGTAGATTTGCATGCAAGATTACATTCTGAGTAGTAACTCCAGCTCTGCGCTCTGCTCGTTTGCACCACACCCCGTGGCTGATTTACTGCTTCTGCAGAGGTTTATGTTATTTTATTTTGGTTTTGTTCCGTGGCTAGTACAGCAAAGAAGAAACGGCGTATGCAGTGTTACTGTCTCCTGTCTTTGGACGTTGTAAAATAAGACCCTCCCATACTGTACGTGTGGAGGTAGTGGGCAGGCATGGAGTAAACTTAAAAAAAAAAATAAATAAGAAACCCACCAGGCTGTAAATTGGATTTGGATTCTGCTGGAGAAAAACAGCCTGTTAGGTGTAGAGTATCTAATCATTTCTCTTAAGATGCTGCTGAAGTGCCAAACCTTCCCCCCTCCCAGACACAATCTAATGCGAATGGACAGCGCTGATTAGAACTTGATGAGGAGAGTTGAGAGTGATGATTACAATTTGCATGTGAAAAGAGAGTGCAGTTCTGCGCCTCTCCTCCCCACAAAGGGATTAGTTGCAGTAAAGTAGGAAATCCCCTGGACCCTCTGCACTTGGAAGACTTGAGACTTTACCTGAATGTTCCAGCGAGCCTTTGTGGTGTTTGGTATTCCCAAAATTCTGCAGCTGAGATTCCGACGAGCACATCTGCATTAAGGTGAAAAGAGGTATGGGTTTATAATCCCGGCACGGTGCCATAAACCGGTGATTCATGAGTGATTCAGCCCAATGAATCTGCAGAGACTAGGGAACAGCCTTTGGAGCAGGTGATCTGTGAGCAGTCATAAATTAGTCCTGCAGAGATTCAAGTACGGTCAGGTTCTTGTCCCATCCCGCTGTAGCTGGTGTTACAGAATCGCGACCAGATACTCCATCCGGAGTTACAACTTTCCTCTGGGACTCTCAGATGAGTTGCTGTGTCCCGGAGTGAGATTATTTTCCCACCCTTCCAACAGCCTTCCGAGTCCTGTGACTGACCGTTCTTAAGTGATGATGGCGGTACAACAATGCCTCCTGGTGACAAAGTTCATTTAACCTGCGCTTCTTTCCAAAGCGTCATCCTTTATTGACAGAGAGGAGATAAAATTGACATGAAATGTGGGTGGGCTTGAAAGAAAGAGCTTCTGTTGGTTCCCACTTGCCTCAGTAAAACAAAGTTTGTTTTAGTGAAAAACTGACGAGATTAAGGAAAGCTGAGAAAACGTTGCTCACGCACGCACTTCAAAATTTGGAAGTGAAAAAGGGTTGTGGTTTACTGAGTATTTGTTTTGCAAAATCGATCTTTTCTTGAAAAGTTCCACTTTATCAGCTCATTTAAAGGAACGAATTGTAGCAGCTGGGACAAATATTCCACATCCTTCCTGTATGTTTATAATTATCTTTTTTTTATTTAGGAGCAAGCGTTTGATCCATATGAAACTTTGTCCCAGGATATTCTCTCTCCACAATTTCATGAGCATTTTAATAACTTGATGGCAAAACCTGCCGTTGCTCTCCACTTCCAGGTGAGTGCAAATGAGAAATACTGAATTGCTTTAGTTCTCGTATTTCAAAGGTTTGGATTTTGTCAGTAGTTCTTTACTTCCTAGCAAGGAAGAAATCTCTACATTCTGACCTTTCTTGAGTGGACTCTCCCTCTTCCTATAAAAACTGGACATGGTCTGACCCGTCCTTGAGTCTCACGCAGGTTTCTTTGTTCTCACTTCACTCTCTCATGCTTGAGAATAAGGGCTGACTTGTCACATCTGTCTCTTCTGTTTCTGTTTTGCCTGTTAATGCCAAACACAGGCTCCCTTGTTTGGCATCGAAAGGAGCAAATTTGAAAGCCCAAAGCCCTATTCCAGTGTAAATTGATAATTGAGTCATTTTACCATGAAGCTGGCCTTAGGTTGGGCTTTCCTAGGGATGTTCCTTCACGCTTCTTCAAGCTGTGGAGTGAAGGCAGAGGTCCGGGCTCTGGTCCATGGACATCCATGAGCTGTCTCTGGTAATTGCAGAGAGATGCAGCAAGAAGTCTTGAACAAGAGGAGAGGTTGTTTCCAAAAAGATCGGCTAATTCAGTTTCTGTTCAATAGCTACCTTGATATGGAAGGTGGCAGGGATTTCACTGTTCTCTGGAAAACCTTTTCTCATCTTACAGCCTTGAACTACTGTGTTAGTTAACCACTGTGAATGGGAGAAGATCTCTTATTTCATTTTCTAAGTCAAAAACTTGTGATTCTCAGTCAAAAACTTGTGATTCTCAGTTTCTGAGGGAGAGGACATACTAATATTAATTTCTTCAGTTCTTGTTGAGACCTTCATATTTTTGTGGTGGGTTGGATGTCAGTTGAAGCATAGCATATGTAGTTGGGAGGAAAGGACATTAGAGGGAAGTTAGTGGTGAGTTTATTAGGTTGCATGGGAGTCCTGACTGAGCTTCCCAGTGAAAACTTTCCAGTGTTTTCTTTTAAATACTGCAGCAAAAGCCGTGGATGGAAGAGGGTGCTTGCAGAGCCTGGAAGAGAGTGTTTACAGGTTGCGTTTGCTTGATTTCAGAGCATTTGCATTATGATGAATCTTACAAAGAGTCTCTTTAGACAAAGCTGGTTTTGCAAACTTCATTGTCTTCCTTACGAGTAGATGTAAACATAAAGTAGATCCGAGGGGACACCCTGGATGTGGCCATTACGAGCAGCTTGCTCGAAGCAGTGGTTGCTTCAGGGCCTCATCCAGTCCCGTTTTCAGAATTTCATAGAATCATAGAATGGCCTCAGTGTTAGTAATCCTGTTTATTTTTCCTTTTCAGTCCACCGCTGAAGGGTTTAAAGAAGCTGTGCGATACGTCCTCCCACGACTCATGCTTATCCCAGTCTATCATTGTTTGCACTACTTTGAGTTACTACAGGTAAACGAAGCCACACTCTTGTTCCCTACTAAAAATATATCATAATGCTTATATATATTCTGTTAAAGAAACCTTCATTGGGCTAAAGTTCTAACATAAAGAGAAAATACAGTTAAAAATTTAATTACAAATCTAGTTTCTTCTTTCCTCGAGTTCTGTATTTTTTATCTGTTCAGGGAAAGCTGAGCATAATTCACATCAGTATTCTCAGTCTCAAGTCACACTCTGTTTGCAGTTCAGCTGATCTTATTTTGGGGCTCAGGGAGGCACTTCCTTTCTTCAGAGTCAGAATCATCCATTCTTCATGTTCAACCATTTGTCCCATGTCCTGCATGGAAGAGATACAGCAAAAAATACTATTTTTCATAGCATACCACACTTCCTCCATGTTGAGGCGCAATGAAAATATGCACTATTTTCTTATTTGCTGTCTTCTGAGAAATGACATTGATGAAATGTCAGGCTTTGTGGAATTCTGCTTCAGATGACAGGAAGTTATTCCTGTAGGATGTATTTCACGGGTTTTACCATACCAGTTGTTTAGGCTGGCATCTCGTCTGTATTTAGGAGCAGTTCTGCTTGTTGAGGCATTACTTGTTCTAGAACAGTCTCTGTTGGTTTGACCACAGATCACTTGCACATATTTTATTCTGATGTGCAATAGCAAGGTGGTTCACTTTGGCAAATATTCCCTTGGGTGGAACAGCTAAAAGCCAAAAAGTAACTAAGCATGTGTCTCTTTGCTTATAAGCAAATGTTTTCGCTGTGAGTTACAAGAAGAGAGGCCAACAGTCAGCAGAAATTTAACTTCTGAGATCTATAATAATCATTCTTGAATAAGAAAAAGTAATGTTGCTGTAGAATCACAGAACTATGGAGACTGGAAAAGATCTGTGAGATCATCGAGTCCAGCCTGTGGCCCCACATGGGCCAGACCAGGGCACCAAGT